AGAGCGACGATTTTGTCAGAGGAAAAAGTTGTTTGGCAGACAAAAACGTGTCGATTGAGTCTATTTTCGTCGAAATCGGAGGTGTTGCCGCTAAACTAAATAATTATCAAAACCACAATTTACACTCTACATCACAAATAGTAGTACGAAAATCGGAGTGAGTCCCAGATGCGCACATTGACAAACGGACACATCCAATCATATGTCGTTGTTTATAGAGTCTCTAGAATATCTCTAGGCATATGGCGTTGTGGTTGGATGTGATAAAAACGAAATAAAAACACAAATATTTTCTACAAAACTATTTTTTATTTCTCATCAGTTGCATATCCATTGCATAAACAAACAATACATAATTAAATGATGATAAAATAAACGGTGTACATCATTCTGCGTCCAAATGAACAGCAGACAACTGGACGATGTCCAAGTGAACGGTGTCCAAATGAACAGTGCGCATCCTTCTGTGTCCAAGTGAACAGTGGGCGATTGAACGGTGTCCAAGTGAACGGTGTCCAATTGAACGGTGTCCAAGTGAACTGTGTCCAAATGAACGGTGTCTAAGTGAACAGTGTCCAAATGAACGGTGTCCAAGTGAACAGTGCGCACCCTTCTGTGTCCAAGTTAACAGACAAGCAATTCCACGGTGTCCAAGTGAACGGTGTACAAGTGAACAGCACGCATCGTTCTGTGTCCAAGTGAACAGTGGGCAACTGAACGGTATCCAAGTGAACGGTGTCCAAATGAACGGTGTCCAAGTGAACGGTGTCCAAGTGAACAGTGGGCACTTGAACGGTGTCCAACTGAACTGTGTCCAAGTAAACGGTGTCCAACTGAACGGTGTCCAAATGAACGGTTTTCGAAATATACGCGATGCGACCCTAAGATCGAGGATTGTAAGACTCTCGGCTGCGAAATCCCGTGTCTGACGCGTGAAATAGAATAAGGTCATCGCTGACGCGAGCCTAACCGTACACGCGATTCTCGATATGTACGGCATGATGTGATCCAATTTGAACTCCAAACAAACAAACAAACAATTAAAGAAGGAGACGATTAGGGTCGCGAGCGATGATTTCGTATCCAAGCTTCTATTGTTCCAAATAATCGCAGCGATCTCGCGGGAATGTATCTACGAATCACAGCGCTCCACGAAAAGTGGAAAAACGAAGTGTCATCCGTTCTCGCCACGAAAAACGATATAACAGCCGCGTCTCGGGAATTCAGGCCAGCTGTCGAGTTATAGCCGACGAAGCGAGCAAATCTGCAAGTCGAGTAGATTCACAGTGCCACCACGGAAAGTTGATCCGTCTCGAAGCAAGCTCGACCGGTCCTACGTCGTCCTCATAACCAGAGGTCACGCGATCCTCAACATTCGACAATCGAAGATTCGAATCCTCGATCCAAACTGGCTGCATTCGGTTGCGTCGCCGACGAACCAATCCGCCGACTCAATGTTCATTGTATCTCCGTCATTTTTTATTAAATATTGTTGATACAAATCAAAACGAATACATTCCTTTCGCCTCCAATCCTATCAATCGCCTTCCAAATCTAAGCAAATCTCCTAACCATTGCTCTAATTTGAGCAGACCAGCGATCAGGCGATCAATTGGCGATCGCCGCTTCGCGATTGCTATCTCAAACAAAATTTGGTCCTTCGAGCCGGATATTAAGAGCGAGATTTGCCATTATGACGGACGTCATGGAAAAGCAACTAAGACTTTATGGTTCAATTAATCGATTCCTGGATAACGTTAAGAAAATCGGACGAAGCAACCTGACCGCCGCTAAGTTGCGCTCTCGCATTACCGCCTTAAAGGAGCTATGGTTGCAGTACCAGGACGGGCACGATCACCTGGCGAGAATCACCTCTACTACCGACCAGAAATCCTTCGACTACTTCAAGGACTCCTACTACGAAGCAGCCGAGGACACCTTCCACGACACCCTTGATCAGCTGACCGAGCGCCTGGAGAAGTTCGATCCAGTTGTGAGTCCCAATCAGTCATTTTTCGGTGGTATCTCGCGAGCGGATGCGGCAGCGGTAGCGTTTCCGGTTTTACCTGCTATACAATTACCAAACTTTTCCGGCGATTATTCGGATTGGGAGCATTTTCGCGACCGTTTTACCACGCTAATCCGCGAGAACAAAGAGCTCACAAACTATTCGCGAATGCATTATCTTGTCTCTTGCTTGAAGGGTCGCGCGCTCGATTGTATTTCCGACCTGGCGATCACCTCCGATAATTTCGTGATCGCATGGCACATCTTAACTGCGCGATTTGAGAAGACTCAACGTCTCGTACATGTTCATCTCGACGCGTTATTGAATTTACCGGCTGTCCGGCGTGAACAAGCTTCGGAGTTACAATTCCTTCTGGATCAAGCACGTAAAAGCATAGCAGCTCTAACAAATTTGAATCGTAACCCGGGATCTCTGTGGAACGATTTTATAGTGCACGTCATCGTGAAGAAACTTGACCCAATAACAAGAAAAGCGTGGAACTTAAAGGAGAGTAGCGACAACAGTCCGACTTCCTATGAGCAGCTTGTGCAATTTTTAACACAAAGACCCAGTGCTCTTGAATACGATACAGGGAGCGTCCCCTGTAAGCTTGTAACGAATTCCGGAAAACCCTCACGCGTTCACGCCACCACCGCATCTGCCGCTTCAACTCCGCAGTGCCCGTTGTGCAAAAGGGAGCATTTTTTTTACACGTGCTCTACGTTCGTTAGCAAAATCCCTTGCGAGCGTCGAAGTTTTATTCAGAATCAAAAAAGATGCTTTAATTGTCTTAGCGCGAAACATTCCGTTAAGGATTGCCAAAGCAAATTCTCATGTCGTGCGTGTAAAAAAAGGCATCATTCGCTTCTGCATACTGCTTCGGACGACCAAAAGGCGATAGAGATTAAGTCTTTAAGCAGTTCGTCCTCTCAAATCGAGCAAAATGTCGCGCCGATCTACGAAGCAAGTGCGTTTCTTGCTTCAATTCCGCCGCAGCCACGTTCTCAAGTGCTTCTCGCGACTGCGTGGGTACGAGTCGAATCCGCGGGTCGCACCGTCGTCGCGCGAGCCCTTCTCGATCAGGGCTCTGAAAGGACATTTATTAACGAATCCTTGGCTCAAACCTTGCAAGTTAAACGCGAACGCGCCCAGGTTTCCGTTTCCGGGGTCGGAGATACAAGCGCGGGTATCGTTCGAACGGCCGCGTCGATAAATATCTACCCGCGCCTCTCCCCTCATCCAAAGTTCAACACGACCGCTCTTATATTGCAAACATTGACCGCCTATCATCCCCGGCGAGCAAGTGACATATCGTCCTTTGCTCATCTCGCCGATCTCGAGTTAGCCGACGCCTTTCCTTTCAGTTCCGATCCTATATCCCTTATCATCGGAGCGGACTTGTACTCTGAGATCATCTTAGAAGGCATACGAAAAGGAAAGTCGGATCAGCCGATAGCGCAAAATTCTGCTCTGGGCTGGATCATATCCGGGCCCATCGATTCAGCACATCATAACTCGGTGATCTCCTCCGGCACCGTTAGACACGACTCGCTGATAATGTCGATCAAATCGGGAGACCGGGATCCGCTTAAATCAAACTCCTATAACCATGTCATTAGTCTTCTCTCTCTGGCTCACGAAATTCAGCGCTTTTGGGAGTCCGAAGAGATACCGAGGGAAATACCGCTGAGCGCCGAAGACGAAAGGTGCGAGAAACATTTTTGTAACACGCATACTCGCGATGAGACCGGTCGGTACATCGTGCGGCTCCCTTTTAAACGAGATCCGCCTATCGATATCGGAGAATCTAGAACGAGAGCCGAGAGGATGCTGAACTCGCTGCGTCGCAAATTAGCTGTTTCTCCCGCATCCGAAAATTCCTACCGCGAATTTATGACCGAATACGAGACTCTCGGCCACATGCGACTTGCGCCGACCTTTAAATCGATGAACTGTCAGACTGTTTATTTGCCTCATCACGCGGTGATCCGCAAAAGCAGCACGACAACACGTCTTCGCGTTGTTTTCAACGCGTCAAGCGTAACATCCAACGGGTCGACCTTAAATAATCATTTGTTGTCTGGACCGAAATCACAGACCGATATAGTATCGGTTCTATTGCAGTGGCGACAGCATCGGTACGTTTATGTCGCGGATATTACCAAAATGTATCGACAAATTCGTGTCGATCATCGCGATTTATACTATCAGCGCATCCTCTGGTTCAAATCCGAAGACGCGGAAATTCAAGAATTTCAATTGCTCACGGTTACATACGGTATGGCCTGCGCGCCGTTCCTCGCTCTCCGCGTGTTAAAGCAACTAGTGCAGGATGAAGGCTCGCGATTCCCCCTCGCCGTTCCTGTCATGAGTCACAATATTTACATTGACGATTTGCTTTTCGGCGACGACGACATACAGCGAATCGGGCAAACGCGCGATCAAGTGCGTTCGTTGTTACGCTGCGGCGGATTTGAACTGAAAAAATGGGCGAGTAATTCCGCCAGCCTTCTCGCGTATATCGACAAAACCGAGCATTGCATGACACGCGATAAACTATTAAAACCCGACGCTCGAGTTAACATTCTGAGGATAAATTGGAACCCCATCCGCGACGCTTTTGTTTTTTGTGTCTCTTTAGACGAGAAACTGCCGAGTAACAAACGAGCCATCTTATCGACAATCGCTAAACTTTACGACCCGTTGGGATGGGTAACCCCTGTTGTCATATCTGCAAAAATATTCATGCAGAGCCTGTGGCATGCGAATCTCACTTGGGATGAACCGCTCCCTTCGGAATTACGCGTCGCATGGCATTCTATTTACTCGAAACTCGCAAGCCTCCACGGATTGCAGATCGCGCGCTGGACCGGGCTCACCTCAACTCGTAGTAGCTGCACGGATTCGCTGACGCTTCGAGTCACGCCTACGCCGCCTCCGTTTATCTCAAGGTCGTTTCGGAAACTGGTGACGTCTCTATAACATTACTAATGGGAAAATCGCGAGTGGCCCCCGTGAAACTGATGAGCATTCCGCGACTGGAGCTGTCAGCTGCTTTATTACTCGCGCGTCTTCTATCCTTCATTCGCAAAACTCTCAGACTCGCGGAATCTCGATGCTTCTGTTGGACAGACTCAACTATAGTGCTCGCTTGGGTTACTCAAAATCCTCGACGATGGAAAACCTTCGTAGCGAACCGAGTCACAGAGATTCAGTCAATGACGCCCGATGCCGAATGGCGCCATGTTGACACCTCTGATAACCCAGCGGATTGTGCATCACGCGGATTAACCGGCGCGGCTATTATCGACCATACCCTCTGGTAGACGGGACCGAAATGGCTGTGGTTCGACGAAACCTGTTGGCCTCCGATAAGGGTCTCACTTCCATCTGACGCCCCTCCGAACGAGACCGCAAGTGCCTTAGTATGCCTTAAAGCAAACGAACCAGACGATCTGGGAAATCGCTTTTCGTCCTGGCCACGACTCCTGCGCGTCACCGCTTATATATTCCGCATTGCCGGCGCCAAAAGAATCCAGCTCAGGGCGCAATCGGGCTCGCGCTTTCTGTTCCAGAGATTCATTTCGCAAAACGACTCTGGATAAAACGGATCCAATCAGAACTATTTGCTCACGAAATTCATCGGCTCGTCGAAAACAAACCACTATCATCAAAAAGCTCTATTCTGGCACTGCATTTATTTGTGGATCCTGACGGAGTTTTGCGGGTGGGCGGACGAATCAAAAAAGCTTCCCTCCCTTTTTCCGTTCGCCATCCAATCCTTCTGGCATCACACCCGCTCGTCCGTCTCATCATAAACCAGGCGCATTCTCGGGACTTGCACGCCGGCACTCAACTCACCCTCAACATATTGCGTCGCGAATTTTGGATTGTTAAGGCACGAAATATTGTTAAGTCCATAATCCATCAGTGCGTCGTCTGCGTTCGCGAGCGAGCCACTATACCAAGTCAACTCATGGGGAACCTTCCCGAATATCGCGTATCGCCATCATTTCGATGCTTCCTTTATTGCGGAGTTGACTACGCCGGACCAGTCCTCGTGCGAACCTCCGCGGGGCGAGGATTGCGAGCTCAAAAGGCATACATCGCCCTTTTCGTCTGTCTCGCCACTCGGGCTACTCACATAGAATTGGTAAGCGATTACTCCACGCCAGCTTTTCTTAACGCGTATACGCGATTTTGCGCTCGTCGCGGCCTTCCCCAGGCTATGTATTCCGATAATGGGACAACATTCGTCGGAGCGGATCGAGAAATGACCGCGGCGTATAAAGCAGCCATTTATGATCCAACCTTCTTAAATCGAACCGCATCCGATCACACTAGTTGGAACTTCATACCCCTCTCAGCCCCTCATTTTGGAGGCCTGTAGGAAGCGGGTATCCGAAGCGTGAAGTTCCATCTTCGCCGCGTCCTCGGGAGTCATACCCTCACGTATGAAGAACTTTCAACGCTCCTCTGTTGAATCGAAACGTGTCTAAACTCGCGCCCCCTCGCTCCTTTAATCGACTCGTGGGACGACTATGAGAGTCTCACTCTTGGTCATTTCCTGATCGGACACGCGCTGACTATCCCTCCGGAACCGTCGCTGCTCGACCTCAACGAACAGCGTCTTTCGCGATGGCAACTCATACGGCACAAAACGGAAAGGTTCTGGAAACTTTGGCATACCGACTACATCAACACGCTTCAACAAAGAAGAAAATCGAAACAAATAAACCCTTCGATAACCGTTGGCCAGTTGGTCTTGTTGCGGAGCCTCGCGCTCCCCCCTTGTAAGTGGGAGCTCGGAAGAATTGTTAAATGTCATCCGGGTTCGGACGGCCTTGTACGAGTGGTGACCATCCGTACCGCTACGTTGGAATTTTTGAGGTCCATCGTAAAAATCTGCGTCTTACCTGTACGCGATGAGCCTACTCGCGACGGTTAAGAGTTGAGCCCTTAAAAGCGACTCACTCTCTGTAAATGTCCTCCCCGCATTTTCGGCCGAGCCGTCAGGGCGGGCGGCGACTGTAAGTTCACCCCTTTTCTGAGAGGACGAGACTGCACTTGCGCCTTTGAGATTCCGCCGCGCTCCACAAGAGATTGATAATCGAAATAGCTATTTCGAGGCGGGCGGGATGTTCGAAATGTACGCGATCCGACCCTGAGATCGAGGATTGTAAGACTCTCGGCTGCGAAATCCCGTGTCTGACGCGTGAAATAGAATAAGGTCATCGCTGACGCGAGCCTAACCGTACACGCGATTCTCGATATGTACGGCATGATGTGATCCAATTTGAACTCCAAACAAACAAACAAACAAACAAAGAAGGAGACGGTTAGGGTCGCGAGCGATGATTTCGTATCCAAGCTTCTATTGTTCCAAATAATCGCAGCGATCTCGCGGGAATGTATCTACGAATCACAGCGCCCCACGAAAAGTTGAAAAACGAAGTGTCATCCGTTCTCGCCACGAAAAACGATATAACAGCCGCGTCTCGGGAATTCAGGCCAGCTGTCGAGTTATAGCCGACGAAGCGAGCAAATCTACAAGTCGAGTAGATTCACAGTGCCACCACGGAAAGTTGATCCGTCTCGAAGCAAGCTCGACCGGTCCTACGTCGTCCTCATAACCAGAGGTCACGCGATCCTCAACATTCGACAATCGAAGATTCGAATCCTCGATCCAAACTGGCTGCATTCGGTTGCGTCGCCGACGAACCAATCCGCCGACTCAATGTTCATTGTATCTCCGTCATTCTTCATTAAATATTGTTGATACAAAACGAATACATTCCTTTCGCCTCCAATCCTATCAACCGCCTTCCAACCTAAACAAATCTCCTAACCATTGCTCTAATTTGAGCAGACCAGCGATCAAGCGATCATTTGGCGATCGCCGCTTCGCGATTGCTATCTCAAACAAACGGTGTGTAACTGAACGACGTGCATTTTCTTTCGTGTCCAAACGCACCGTGTCCAATTGAACTGTGTGTCAAATGCCGTGTCCATTTGCAACGTGTCCAATTGTACTGTGTCCAAGTGCCTGACCGCTCCCGTCGGGAAGCGGGCAACGGGACCGCCAAGGCGTTTAAGTTGTACAATTTAACGATAAGAGGCAACCTCGAATCGAATTGTGTCAGCGTCGCGTAAGGGGAGACCCTGGCCTAGTGCTGGGGTCTCCCCGGTTCACGTTGATGACATGCCCACATTTGAGGGAAGACCATGATTTGCATACTCGAATCGTCTTTGGGTCAAGCAATGACGAGGGCAGAAGGATGAGAGGCTAAATGGCGGCGCATAAGCCATAGCTTTTGGGTTGCCTCCACTTTGTGGGGCCCTCGCACTGTGACCTGGAAGGCAACACGCCGGGAGCGGTCTACGGGACCGCCAAGATGTCTAAGTTGCATTATTCAACGATAAGACGCAACCTTGAATTGGGACAGCGTAGCGTAAGGGGGGACCCTGGCCTAAGTGCGAGGGTCCCTGAGCACGCTAAAGCCATGGTCAAATGCACTTAGTAGAAAGCCACTAAATGAAGCTCTGATCTGGTCCACGTGGGGGGTAGATATACCAACCCATTCTCGCCTGTGCGTAAGCATTTGGCAATAGACTGAGGAAAGGAAGCTTTGAAAAATAAAGTTGCTCAATTATCAAAGGATCCGCAATATAGGATCCAGAATCTGCCTTTTGTAGTTCAACGGACTGGAAACTGAGACTCCTGAATGAAGTTGTAGTCAGCAGGAGCAGCAGGATCAGGTGCCCCCATGAGATGGAATAAAGGAGGGGTAGTTAGTGTGAAGCCCGACACCCATAAAATGCCGCGCTTTGCTTCCTCAGCCGTGAAGGCTATACGCTACTTACTACCATCTACTTTTATCGTTTGTCAACCACTGACAGGGGAAGGGCGATGGAAAAATCCAGCAGCGCCTGCGGGACGTGTTCGCAGGATGAGCGGTTTAGCCGTGGCGCGCGCGTCGCCCGCCCGTTGTGGCCGCAGCGCGCGCCCCACGCCCACGGGGACCACGGGGAGACCCGCTTACTAGTGTCTCGCCCAGACACACGCTCTGACCCTTTTGGATGGGAGGGGAAGGGAAGAGGAGTGGGTATTGGGTTTAGGTGATCGAGGTGAGGGAGGTGAGGTGAGAACCTGAAAGTAAAATAAAATATTAATTGTTTCCTACCTCAGCCGCCCGGGTCCAAGGTTATCCCGCGAAGGTTGCGAGGTCGTTTACCCATGCCCGGGGGCTCCGACATCCCCCGGGTAGACCGCTGTGAAATCTAACATGGACCCTTTAACCAAAGGGATTCCCGACAGAAGGTCGCGAAGACGGAGTAGGCCTCTGGAGTTGACGCGAAGTAGTGTGCCGCCTCCGGCCACCTCCAGCTCGCAGCCGGAAGGACCTACCTCCCGAAGAGCCTCCCGCTGCGGCTAGAATTCGGGACATTGCAGGAGATGATGCTCGGCAGTGTCCCTTCCCCTTCCACACACACACACATCTCACCTTCCACAAGACCCAAAGACGCAAGGCGTGCCTGGAACCTGCCGTGTCCGGTGATCATCTGTGTCATGTAGTGGTCAGCGCGGATCCACCGCGCATCAACCCTGCACCCCACATCTTCGAAGAAGGTGTACGTCGTGCGGCCTTTGCTCGAAGAAGACCATCGAACCTGCCACATCTTTTACGCCTCGCCCCTAATGAGACCCTGGGTCTCTCTAACATTCCCGGTGAACGGGACGGTCGAGTCTCCTATCCTGGCATCCATCTCTTTTCTAACCATGTAACGCGCCAAATATTCTTCGAGAAGAATGTCGACGGGGACCGTTCCAGCAACCACGCAGAGCGACTCCGTCGACGCCGTGTGGTACGCAGCGGTCGTCGAGATGAGCGCTCGGCGCTGCAGGGTCCTGAGAACCTTCAGGTCACTCCCAGCGCACAGGTCGGCCCATCCCGCAGCGGCGTAAGCCACCGTCGGCGCGA